TATATATATATATATATATATATATATATATATATATACACACACACACTTCATCTATGTAGTTGCAAATGCATGTTTGTACAAATAGGCAATTATTCTAGAAACGATTTATTCTGCCTTTAGTTAAATAACTAAAGCAAATGATGTCATCCAAAACGAATATGAAATAAACTGCTACAGTTGCCCACAAACTATACGTAGTGTGCCAACACTATGAAAACTGGGAATCAATTATACCTGAAGGGTATATTTTTCTCAGGTTTTAATCAGTGAGAACAATTAACCAGTGGAATGGCTTGCCTTCACATGTTGTGGGTGCTCCATCACTGGAGGCTTTTAAGAAGAGATTGTACTGTACAACCATTTATTTGAAATGGCAGGGCCTCCTGCTCAAGCAGAGGGTTGGACTTGAAGACCTCCAAGGTCCCTTCCAACTCTGTTATTCTATGTTCCTTTAATATCATGAATAGTATAATGGGATCTTTACAATAATAAATTTCTTAACCGTTAAGATCCTGTAAGGTTTTTGCTTTTGTTTAAAAGGCTAAAACGGTAAAGATAATCTTCGACTTATGACCACAATGGAGCATGGAATTTCAGTTCTATGTCATTGTGATCGTAAATCAAGGCAACAAGTAAGCTAACATGATTTTACAATCCTTACAACAGAAACCAACAAAAACTGTTACAAATCATGGTCATGCTGCAACGGGTTGTAAATCATTTTGCTTGTAAACGCAATTTTGTTTAGGAGGAACTGAAACTTCTCTTGCCATGCAGAGATGTTGACTCCCAGTTTTACTGGGTACACCCTGCATTAAGACACAATGCTCCAGAGCTGAAACTTGGTCACAACACTAGAATCTGCACCAGAGTGGAACAGGGGTCAGCAGGCAATCAGGCAATGCAAAAGGACTGAACTGGATGGAAGGACAATGAATCGCCTGCATTTTATCATGCATACATCTCAAGACTTCACTGACTTGTGACTATGAAAATTACAGCTCTGGAGTTATTACTGTGCATGAAATTAAAGAGAAGCAGCTAATTTTTAAAACCATCTCCTTTCCTCTCTCACGTTGCTGTTATGTCTGTGAATAGATCCTAGGATCTCTTCTTTTGCCAATTTTACACTTAAGCCCCATTGTCCTAACCCTCCTTTCATATGAAGTGCTTTTTCCTCTTACTTAAAGTCCCTGCATTCATCTAAGAAAAACATTTCTTTCCTTTTGTCTTCTCCCAATGTTACATTTTTCTGAATTTACACTTCTCCTTCCAAGATTTGTTAGATACAAATCTTAATAGCTTTCCAACATGAAAAGAAAGCTAACTTAAAGGACTGTCCCCTATTCCCCTATGTTTAACATCTCTTTCGATGATAAAACTATTTCAGCAAATTGGGTTTCAACTTCTGTTTTATATCACCAATAAGCAAACAAAAACAGAAAATATTTCCTAAGAGGTGTTAAGCTATAAAGTGGACTGAAATGGCAAAAGGTGAGTGCAAGAGCTGAGGCAATTCCATGTTCCAAATGATTTATGCATTGCTCGGTGGAAAAAGTGATAAAATAAATCAAATCACACAGCGTTTTCTGTGATGTGGCAAGCTTGGCAGTACAAATTCTGAAATTGTGAGCCAAAAGAGAAATGATTTCTGCTAAAAAACATCCCTCTGACCGCTGCTAAAGCCAACACAGAAAAAAAATCTAAAAAATAAAGTAGAAAAATTCTTACAAAATGAATATTCTTAGAGCGAGTTGTTATTCTTTTTCTTTCTTGATTTGAAGGAATCTTTTCAATACTGTATTCTGTATGAAAATGTTAATTGATGGACATAGTTGGCTCTAAAGAGTTATATTTGAATTGAAAGAGAGGCAGTAGCAGATAATAAAACTATCTATCTTGAATGTGGTAAAAGGTCTTGGGTCCAATTGCAATAGTTTGAAACAGAGACATTGCTGGACTGGATAGCTAATATAGAGCTCAAGGCACAAGTGATCTGATATGGAAAATATGAAGTTATCTACCTTTTTTTCATACACACATCTTTTTAAGCTGCACATGAAAACTAGATCTACTTTTATTAAACTGGCTATAATAACAGAAAGTTGCAAGTTTGATTGAGCTGTACTACTACTTATATTCTTATATTCCAATGAATCAGGGGAGCCACTTCTGAACATAATCTCATTTCTCAGGGTGTAAAACATGTTTTAGCGTCCGTTGCTTAGAGAACAATTCTTGCATATTTCCATCAGGATTAGTCTTTATACTAACCCAGCACTAGTACAGTGATAGTGTTAAACTACCCTAAACCACTCTATTCTAGTGCACCCTAGAATGCTGCCCCATATAAATAAAGCACCACACTGACACAAGATGTAATACTGCAGTGGTGATTGTGATGGCTAATTTCTGAGCTTTCCTTCGGTCTAATACAAACTCTGTAGTTCCCACTGCCTATAGATGCCCAACAGAATAGAGGGAATGGTGCAAATTAATCTCTATTTACAGTGTACTATTAAAGGTAAAGGTAAAGGTTCCTCTTGCACATATGTGCTAGTCGTTCCCACTCTAGGGGGCAGTGCTCATCTCCGTTTCGAAGCCAAAGAACAAGCGCTGTCCAAAGACATCTCCATGGTCATGTGGCCAGCATGACTAAACACTAAAGGCACACAGAACACTGTTACCTTCCCACCAAAGGTGGTCCCTATTTTTCTACTTGCATTTTTACATGCTTTCGAACTGCTAGGTTGGCAGAAGCTCGGACAAGTAACAGGAGGTCACTCCATTACGCGGCACTAAGGATTCGAACCGCTGAACTGCTAACCTTTTTGATCGACAAGCCACTGAGCCACCGCATCCCTCAGTATACAGTTACTGGTATATAAATCCTATGCAATATCAATCCAGTTTCACATGATGCTGTGTACAGCTTTTTTGCCCAATACAGATTCCTAAAGATTGGGGAAGTCCTGCTGGGTGCAGCTTTACTCTAGGAACATTTGCATTATTGTATAATACTTTTCTGCCTAAACACCTTTTCCTAACACTTCGCTTGGAGCCACCAGACCAAAGCATTTATCCCTCTCTTATAACAAGGTACAACAGGGCAGAGTTTGCATTTCTGCTGACAAAATCCACAGCAACTCCAAGGTGCAAAAGACAAGTATGATACCAAGTAGAAAGTTCCATCCTTTCCTTCCCAAAGGAGCAGCAGAGACAAAGGTTGCTGTCTTCTGCTTGCAATATCGCAATTACAGTAATTCATGAATAGACTGGAATCTTGCGGTAGAGACAGCTGGGTAAAACAGCAAAAAGACTACGGCTGCCCTGCCAAAGCAGTGGAATTGCTCAGCCTTTGTAAGAAGTTTGGAATTCTCAAATAACTCTAGCTTTCCCAGACAGCACCAGGAAATTGAATTTTGGATGTAAAATTGCCTTGCTTCATGGATAACCAACTTCTGCCCAAGTTACAGCAACACCTGTCAACAACTGTCATGGAATTTAATAATAGACAAACTATAACAGCATTATAAACACATTATTTTGGGGGGAGCAGGGCAAAAATCAGTACTTAAGCCAGCATTGTGCTTCTCTATCTTATTCACATACATTTTTTTTAGAATTGCTGAGTCTAATCAAGTAAAAACAAGAGAACACCATCAAGCCAAGATCTACTATCTTGCTTTCTTTTTCCACTGCATTTGATCATGCAGTTACTACTATTGAGCCAGCTACCATCTATTCTATATCTGCCCATTTGGTTTTTCTTGCCTAAATGTAGAGCCTTACTTTTCTCACTATTGAATTTCATTTTCTTAGATAGGGCCTTTCTTCTGGAGTGTTAGCTATTCCTGCCAGCTTGGCGTTGTCTCAAAATTTGATGAGTTCCCCTTCTATTCCTTTGTCGAAATCTCTGATGAAGATATTGAAGAATAGACTCTTGGGATACCTCACTACGTACTTCCCTCCATGTAGATGCAGTTCTATTAAGGACTACACATTGAGTGCAGTTGGTCAGCCAGTCATTTCAAACAT